CCCCCGCCAGCCCCTCCCTCTGTGCGGTCCCTGTAAAGAGGTTCGATCCAGTATTTCAATAGGCACATCCTCCATCTGTAAATCTCTTACACTAAAACAAATCGATCTTTATTATAAAACCATTATGACACATGGAATACACTTAGACTAAACATATTCAGTACCGTTAATTGATCAGTGTACTATTAAGTCCCCGAATTTCGTATTGATTGAAAACTTTTAAAGTTGTCTTACATGGGCGCAAAAGCGAGTAAATATTGAGGCGATGTCGTAGGTTTGGATGTTTCTTTGCTCTGGAATTTCCTGTTGTTCCGAGTTTAGTACAACAACAAATTGTCATGCAGCACGCGAGAGTTTATCGCGCTTAGTTGCCCTCCGAAATCTTTCCGAAATATGGTAATGTTGTAGAAAGGGAGGAAACAATAGTGAATAGCTGCAATAGAGAAAAAAACCTTTATTTCTACATACCTCATTTACACTCCTTCACTTGCGACTATTCATTTTCTTTAGATTTACTATCAGGATAGCGGATTTTGTCCTTTTTGTTGCTCTTAGCCCAGCATGTTAAGCTTGTGAGTTCACCTCGAACAGTGAAACCGCACACAAGAAAAGGACAATGCGTGACAATTTCTCACACTGTTCTTTCTAAACAATACCATATTTCGGAAAGATTTCGGAGGGCAACAAAGCGCGGTAAATTCTCGCGTGCTTCATGGAATTTGATGTTTTGTTAATTGACAGCACGCGCGCAACTCGCTTCTGGCTCTAAGTTAAGAGTTTCGGCCTTGTAGTGGTCGCTTCTCTCTGTACTAGGCAAGGAAAAGCCTTCCCTTAGAAGCTACAGTAAAAGACCAAAATAAGCCCCTCCAAATATAAGCCCTCCAAACCGGTAACGTAAAAAGCCCTCCGTTAAATCGCCCCTCCAAACATAAGGCTTGCAATTGGAAAATTGCCCTCAAATACAAAGTAAAACAAAGCAAAAACGGTAAATTTACTTCCAACTATAAGGCTAGCCCAATCGATTTTGAGACGAAAATTTCCCTCCGTAAATGAGCCCCTCCGAATATAAGCCCCTCAAAAAGGGCCTTTGAAAAATATAAGCCCCGGGGCTTATTTTTGGAATTTTACGGTATCTAGAAGCCCCGGCTATCAGGATACCAAAGACAAAGGCAAGAAAACTTTGCTTAGCGCAAGACCCTCTACCCGGCCTTGTTGTTTACGTATAGAATAGACCTTGTAATTTTCAACCCCTCAAATTACTAGCCCTTTTCTTCATGAAAGGTATGCTCAAATACTTCGTCTACAAGTCCATTTTCACTCACAGCATCAAGAAAGAGAGCCATTAAACGCTGTAACATTCGTAGTTAGCGATCAACAAGTGTGCTAAACATGTTTCAGCCAGTTTTATCAAAGTTTTAGCCAGAAAACTATTGTTACACCGAGCAGTCTCACTCCTTACAGGTATACACTTCATTCAATACTCAGAAGCAGGCGAAAAGAAAATATATCAGAAATTTCAGAACTGCATAGTGTAAAATAAATGCCTCGGTCTTTTCAGCTTTTTCATGGAGTGAGACAAAAAAAAAATAAAGTAGGCCAAATGCTACCATCCTTACCATCCTTTCCACCCTTTCCAGAGCAACCTTGGCCACAAGTATGTAATCTAATGTCATTATCTAGAACAGAGGATTCCCGATGTTTTTTTCAGGATCTGGTGATTACCTGTAATTGATGGGCAGGATTCGGGATTTTAGAGCAACGGTGTGTGGGATGTCGAAAATAGTCATCGACATTACGGGATTGAGAAAAAAAATTTAAAAACCCTATTGAGGACCCTCGGAACAGGCCAGAAAGAACCATCTTGCCCACTTGGGTAGCTGGTAACAATACAGTATTCCCTTTATTCCGCCAACCACCATTAACTAAACAGGGGCACCCAACGTCAATTTTCGAAAAAATATCTGTTCTGAGGACGATTTGAGATCTACAATTTTCGGAACATTTGTTGTAAAATCTCTTCCTTGCCTGCCTCTCCTAGGATTTTGGAACATCAAAAAAATGGTATAATTCCTCATTTTTTACGGATTTTTACCCTAAAAAGGTCACCTAGAATTTTCGGGGGCCTTTTTTCTAATTGAAAATTTCGAAAAGGTAAGTTTTGATCCCTATAATTTACGGATCACTAGACTTTCACCTAAGAAATCCGAACAGATAAAAAATTTTTAGGGGATAAAAATATGCCTATATTTACCGTGTAAATACTAAAATACGTTTAACAGTGCTATGTCTAAGTGGTTTTGAACTATATTCTCGTTGGGTGCCCATGACTAAACAAACGCAAACTTCGTTTTACATTGACTAAAAATAAAAGCGTCTAATTTGTATGCTGACTGTTTGTTTCGTTTGACTTGTTTCATTAATAGTCTCCCTGTTCGTCGTGTTCCTCGCCTTCCTCTGTTTTCGGCTCCCGCTTTTCCTCGTCGTCTGGTTTACCAGCGGCGTTCAAGTCACGAATGGTGGCGTACAGCTTTTTGCCAAACTGAGCTAGCTGATCTAACTCTCTTGCAGCATTTTCGAGGTTGTCATTGCCAATGGACTTGGTCATCTCGTACAAAAGAACCTGGGAATTCACTTTCTCCAAGTCGAGGACACCAATCTGCATGACGTAACAGAATGCGTTCTCGAATTTATGCAGGATTCCTTTGGAGGAGAAATTATACTTGTACATCAGGTAGTCGACCCTCAGCAAGCTGTTGTTAGCGTACACGACATGAAAATCGGTCTCTTGACTCTCGCCTTCACTTTCGTCGCCCAAGAAAACGTTCATGGCCCCCGTGATCGAATCTTTTAACCCTTGCATAAAGTCCCCGGACAAAACTTCATTTAAACCATTTGTTACGTCTTCGTTAGCTACTTGCTTGATTTGGAGCATGTACTTCTCTGTTTTGTCCACGACTGCTACAATGGGAAGGGTTGGGTCTGCAACTGCTGCGTCCTTAAACTGGGCCGATATGGCAGCACACTTCTGCGTCATCATGTTGTTCATAGTATTTAGCATTTCTTTGATTTCGGCGTCATTTTCTTTTTGCTCCTGTTTTTTCGCGTCAGTAATGGTATTTCCCATGGCTTGTGTCCAGGATTGTGGCCAAGAATATCCTTATCGAAGACTGCAATTCCGTTACGGTTTGCCTGTAGCAAGAGTTGAGTAACTTTTCAAATTATCATTGCAAAGAAATTGTACAAGGCGTAAACAGCTAATTATGCCATGGCCGTCATTTAGGCTCAGTTTCTTGGATGGGGCTCGGTTCTCACTATTTAACGAGGAATTACGACGCTACTGGTTTTATAGCTACTGCTTTAATTTAGTATTCTTAATTAGAGGAAATAATTGGACAGCATCCATTCCATTAAACAAAGCGACCCCCCCGCCCCCCTCCAGCGAAAATGCATAAAGGCAAACATTTTTTTGTGTGCCAAGAATCTAGGTGTTCCTACTAATAATTCCTTGCCTGTGGCTATTTAATATCTCCACTATGTAAGTTTTTGACTGAATGTCTCGTCGCGTGAAGAATGGAAAACACTTTCGTAATTTTCGTTTTGTACAGTCAAGCGAAGGAAGAATCGCAGTACGGTACAGATTAGCTCAGATTATAGTACTTCGCTAACATAAAATATCACAGTGTTGCTTGTTCAGTCACTTTTATTCTCATTTCATGTCTTACGACCATCCTACTCTTTTAAAATAGATAGTGAAATAGTAGAGTCTTTGCTGAAGCACTTAGGAGTAAACAGAAAATCTCAGGAGCTATGTCTGTTTTAAAAGACTCTCGCACATAATCTGATTCCATCTCTTCATGACATTGGGGGTTCTTGAGCACGTTTCGGAGAGGAAATGAATTTTATCGAACACAATCGATATACCAGATGTAACTGACAGATGAAATAATCATTGATCTAGATCTGTGCCCTTTTAGGCAAGTTTGAAAAAACAATATAGTAAAAAATTCAATTGGAATTAAAGGTATTTCAGTTACTTTAAAATTTCTGTTTTCTAAACGACATTACCAATTAGCTTCATAAGATTATTCCGTCACTGATGATAATAAATAAGGTTAACCAATCATCGAAAATAATACTAATCTTTCTTGTCCTCTTTTGATAAACTTATGGAAATTTACTCTATTTAAATTTGAATAACCTATGTATCGTCTCCAACTTTTCACGAAATATTTCAAAGCTCTCACGGAACTTCAAAGACACAATGATATTTTCAATATATATAGTATTTTCTATTATACATTGATTTTTATGTTTATTCGCATGAAAATCGACATACGGTTGATGAAACACATGCCGGTCCTGATACATGAAACAAAGAAATTCCTTTTCGATATCCGTGATAACTGACCACAAATTAAAGCTTTTTCTTATTTTTTTCGTGGAAAAAACCCTCAAATCCCTACAAAATTAGATAAAGGTCTCCATCTGTTAATTGCGAACACTATTTTTTGACAAAGGAGCGAGTACTTACGTATTGCAGCGGCCTCCCAGTTGGTAAGTGAGAATCTGACAAGTATAGTTGCAGCAAGCGGCTTCGTAGACTAAAATCAATGAGGAGATGAGTGGCCATTTTATAACACAGTTTGATATTGCTGCAGGGCAATTGGGAAGTCATAACTTCTAAAAATTAAAATATGTTTAACACATTTCACGTTCCGCGAACAACCTGAAAAGAGTCAGTAGACTTTAAAGAAAAGGTAATGGATGACTGCAACTCACAACTTGAATCAGCTTTGTTTGATTAAATAAAGTGCGGGGGGGTGACTATTGTTTTCAACCTACGTTAAAAGCCTCGGGTCGCTAGTGCAAATTCGCAAGGGATACCACAGTCATTAGGACGAGCGAGGTAAAGGAAAAGGTAAGAAGCAAGTAAATATCGCTATATATCGCTAATTTGATCGTAAGTGTGTGAGCTTTGTTGTTGCTATAATCTGCTTAATCGTTTTGATATTTTGTGTCCGTAATTGTATAATTTTGTTAATTTGTTTTGTGTCAATGTTGCGGGATCGCCATCTTTTTCACGGGACCGGCGAGGGCATCAAAACTTAAATCCTTTTTTTTTTCTCTCTAAAATAGGCAAGGTCTGGTCTCCAGAATAGGAAGTTCCATTCACAGATCACACATATTTATATTTCATCTATTCTTTCGCTAATTAAACCGACCTAAATTCATATCAATCCTTTCCAGTGTGGGCCTTTGTTGATCTCCTATTCTTCGTTTTCACCGTCACGCAATAAACACGGCACAAAAAAAATACATTTGAAACCGTCCAGTGGGAGAAGCCAAGAAAGTGAAATGTTATAAAAGACTAATATAAAAACAATTTGTCCAAATCTCAGGTCTTTGTGGCCCACAGTTTCTGAGTTATTTGCCGAAACATTTCACGCACCTTTGTAGAGCTTTGTATGGAGACGCCATATTGGTGGACAGAAAAACATCTGGAGTTCACTTTTTCTATAAAAGCTCCTCCTTTTCACTCGAGAACTAGCATACGTGCGCATAAAAATATCTTCTAATACTTGAAATGGTTAAACTGCTGAAAATCAAGTTGAGAGACTTTTTTTCAAGGAGACAGCATTCCTATTTTGGTGTCACGCACTGTGAAAATTCGGAAGTTCAAATTGCTGTATTTTTGAAATGAAACATGCTTCGGGGCTGGAAACTTGTACAAAGATTTATTTCCTATCAATCTTCAACCTATTGTAAATAAGAATTCGTAAAACCTCGCTTTTTTGACTTTGCAATCTGATGACGTCACCGTGAAAACCATCAATTTCTCCACCAAATTCAGTAAAGCTGGTTTGATCGATTATCTACATCGATCGGCCCGTTGAAACCGAAAAATGCGAAATAGCTTTAAAAAACGCGCTCAAGCTAATTTTCCTCAAATGTATAATTGAATTCATGATAAATACAGCTCCACCAGCTTCAAACAGCTTCTATGGTCGAGAAAAATGGTTTTGATACCACAAAATTAATTGTTTAACAAAGTGGCACTGTGGTGCAGTGGTCAAGAGTTGCTTGCACGAGCAGATGAACGGGGTTCGACTCCAGGGTTTTCTGTTTCTTTGTACCATTTTACCTTTATAGCTTTACGAGGTTTTTGCTATACTGTATTTCTAGTCTGACTTGGTTTCTTGTGTCATGGCCTACTTATAGCGCTTTACAGCTGTTCAATTGGCTTTTTGAAAAAATGATTGTTTGGTAGTTTGGATTTGTCTTTAATTGCTTATAAATTGTTGCTTGCTGCCAATCCTTTAAGGTAATTCTTGCTGTGGTTGTTTTGCTGTTGTCATCGTGTCAACAGTGTGCTGTAGTTAATAATACAGGGTGTCCCAAAAGTTCGTTCCTCTAACTTCATGCACTATATCTTTTGATCAAAGCTTCATTTTTACATGAAATTTCTAGAAGATGTTTATTTCTCTATGAAGTACATGTGTTCAGAATTTCAATAACTGGCAATTGCCCTTTTTGTTTTTTTATCACATTCTGTAGCCGTTGCGGCATGAAGTGGAATACATCGTGTTGACCCACAAATGATCCATTTTGAGCTTTTTTATCACCTGGTGCGCAGGATCCAGTTCAACCCCCAAACAAAATTCGTTTCGTTTAGACAAGTGAAAAAAATATACTTTGGGCATTCATCCAGAAAAGATAATCATCCCGGCCCCCTTCCATAGCAAGGCTTTTGTACTTCATTACAAATTTGAAACGAGCTGGGCGTTAATTGGCAGACTAAGCAGAGGTTTTCTTGCCATCTCAGGAGCCTCTAATTTTAAACATTTTAAACAACTTTTCATGACCCTTTTATTTAGCTGGCTAACTATGTGAGACTGAGCTTCCTTGTCGAGTCTCCTATTTTGTATCTAGCCTTCTTTAAAACTATTTTAGCTGCCTTATTCAGGGCTTTAGTCTTCCCCTTAGTTTCTTGCCTCCATAACCTTCATTGCTCCATGATCATTCTACCACCCAACATTCGGATTTTTCCGGTTTTTTAGCAATTTCTACAACAGATAAGCCAGTAAATCGAAGTATACAGGCTTATGCTCTCACGCAGCTGAACGTTTTTGTGTCAAGAGGGTTTATCTTTCGTGATATTCACAAAAAACAAGAGAGGAGTTCGAGCAGTTCGGGCTATCAATTACAAAAAATATGTGGCTGGAAAATATGCTCGCGCACTTTTGGTAAGGAAGTACACAAATAGAATATTCGAGTCAAAAGATGGCACAACAAGTATGAAAATAGTGATTTAGATTGAAAGACACAATTTCTGTTGAAATGATTTGTTTACCAAGTCCAATCGTACTGAAATACAGACTTATAAAGTAGAGGAACAAACTTTTGGGACACCCTGTATTGCAAAAACTTTGTATGGTAATATCACTAATATAAAGTTTCCATTGGCTCTTAAGAGCTAAAAATACGCGCACTTAAAGCCTAGAATATCCTTTAATGAACCTCGTATTGCTGTGTCTAAATTCCTCAATGTTGCTGTGACCGTTCGATATCAATGCTCGAGAAATTTGCTGGACGATAGAAAGGAATCGATCTTTAAAATTCATTACACCATGGCCACTGGACGTTTCGTTTAGAAAAAAAGTACCAAAGTCTGGTTTTCTATGACAATAGGGATCTTAAAACCTCCCAATCCAAAAAATCGAAAAAGTATTTCCGTGATAAATTCAAAATTTTTTGCGGTCTCTTCGATAAACACTTTACTCGCCATTTTCAAAGTCACTGCCGCGAGACGTGATTTCATACTGGCAGAAGGACTGTACCA